TGCCTCGATTTTGCCGCTTGCTGCTTGCTGTTCGTTCGGTTCAACTTCAACGAACTGCGGCAATATGTATTTTGCGCCGGAAGTACGTCATCTAGCTTACATAAAATTCTTAACCAATAGTAACAAATTGCTGCTGCAGCGTGCTGCGCATGAAAAAGCACCTTTAGGGTGCAAACCCATGCAGCGGAATAGCGTAACGCGGAACGAGAATAGAACCAATCACGAGATTCTCTAGAAACACGGAATGCTCGTTATTGGTCCTGCTCTCGTTCCGCGTTACGCTATTCCGCTGCATGGGTTTGCACCCTAACGCGGAACGAGAGCAGGACCAATAACGAGCATTCCGTGTTTCTAGAGAATCTCGTGATTGGTTCTATTCTCGTTCCGCGTTACGCTATTCCGCTGCATGGGTTTGCACCCTAACGCGGAACGAGAGCAGGACCAATAACGAGCATTCCGTGTTTCTAGAGAATCTCGTGATTGGTTCTATTCTCGTTCCGCGTTACGCTATTCCGCTGCATGGGTTTGCACCCTAACGCGGAACGAGAGCAGGACCAATAACGAGCATTCCGTGTTTCTAGAGAATCTCGTGATTGGTTCTATTCTCGTTCCGCGTTACGCTATTCCGCTGCATGGGTTTGCACCCTAACGCGGAACGAGAGCAGGACCAATAACGAGCATTCCGTGTTTCTAGAGAATCTCGTGATTGGTTCTATTCTCGTTCCGCGTTACGCTATTCCGCTGCATGGGTTTGCACCCTAACGCGGAACGAGAGCAGGACCAATAACGAGCATTCCGTGTTTCTAGAGAATCTCGTGATTGGTTCTATTCTCGTTCCGCGTTACGCTATTCCGCTGCATGGGTTTGCACCCTTAGGGCGGGTTCACACCTTGACGGAAAAGCGGAAAGCGGAAGAGCAGTTAACCGATCAGAACTCGCCCTGGTAGTAAAAAGTACAAATCTAACAGAAAGTCGACTACTTGATTGGCTACTGCTTTTCCGCATTCTGCTTTTCCGTCAAGGTGTGAACCCGCCCTTACTCTTACTTCATGCTGTCAAGCTGTTTATTGTTATTGCATTTGTCAGAAAATTTGTAGAGAACTTTATTAGTAAGCGATCCTTGAATTTCATTGTCGATGGCGAACTTCTGGGCCCCTTCGATTCTTTTAAGGGGACACCGCAAGGCTCTACCCTCAGTCCGTTGCTTTTTAACATCTATCTCAAGGATATGGTCTCTCATGTACATGATAAAGTTAGCTTACTGCAGTATGCCGATGATGCGGTTTTATTTACTACCTTAAGTAACGTTTTTGACGCCATTAAATGCATTCAAGAATCTCTAAATAACATTTACGCCTATCTGAGAAATAGAGGACTAGACATCTCCCCATCGAAATCCAAGTGGATGATTTTCTCACGGAATGTGAACATTCCTTCTCCTCCTTCACTGCTGATAAATGAGCAAGAGATTCCCAGAGTGTACTCACATCGCTTCCTCGGGGTCATCCTGGACCATAAGTTGAATGGCAATCTTCATCTTAAGTACCTCACTGAGAAGGGGAAAAATATTGTTAACATCATCACGGCGCTCTCAGATGTCTCCTGGGGTTCCCACCCCAGCATACTACTTACCGTTTATCGCTCCATCTTGGGCAGAGCAATTGAATATGGGGCTCAATTTTTCAACTGGGTTACGGAATCTGCGGCTTTTGTTAAGCTTCTAAGAATCCAGTACAAGGCGGTCAGGAGGGCTATGGGATACCGCATTTCTACTCCCATAAACACCATGTTAGGCGAGGCGAGAATTCCACCTCTACATCTGAGATTCAATCTTTCCATTACCAAACACATCTACAAATCAATGGCTAACAAGTTCAGCGAAACGTACGCTGCATTGATTCAAATGGAGCTGATTGCTACTCGTAAGAACCGCAGAATTGAGGCTATCCGAGATTCTTCTCTATTTAAGATATACGTCACGGTTAGGCAAGCAGAAAAACATATCCATTCTTCGGTTTATCCCGCAGTATTCTGGCGTGACCTGGAAGTTCTTTCTCATGAAATAGACAACAACTTTGAAATGATGAAGTGCGACAGAGAGGGCCCCCAGGGTCGATACTGGCACAATTTCTTCATAAATCTTTTGACTACAGACACAACTCAATCACCTTCTACACAGATGGCTCCAAAGAGCCCGATTGCCCGGTTGGCACGGGAGTATTCTCCCCGGAATTAAACATCCAAATAGCTCATAAACTCCCTGCAGAAACATCGATCTTTTCTGCTGAACTCTGGGCCATTTATCAGGCAGTTGTACTCGCGTTGGTTGCAGACCACAGTCGTATCACCGTCTTTAGCGATTCCAAGAGTGCCATAGAGGCGATTTGTGATGATAAACATTACCAGAGGAACTATATTATATATCGCGTCGAGCAGACTATTCTTAGGGCAGCCAAAGCTCAGATATCTGTTACTCTTTTCTGGGTTCCCTCTCATAAAGGAATCCCAGGAAATAAAGCAGCCGACAGTATAGCCAAAAATGCTGCAACCAACGGAGTTTCCGTTAATTTCAAATTCCTCATGAAGACTTCTTCAATGAGGCCAGGGAAGTTACAAAGCACCGATTTAACAGCTATCTCAAGATCAGGGCTCAATCCAAGGGCACTCTTCACTTTGAGCGCTATCCTCTGACTTCTAAGAAGACCTGGTTTCACGAATACTCGCTTACGAGGGAAAAAGTTGTAATGATAAACCGTCTCAGATCCAACCACTATAATCTGAACGAAAGCCTACATAGGGTCAACATGATTGATTCGCCAGACTGTTCCTGTGGGTCAACAAAACAAACGATCAATCACGTCATATTTGAATGCCCTCTCTTTGAACAAAAGGCCCTCCAACTCCGAAAATACTTATCTCAAGATACTCCTACTCCTCCTGTAGATATCTTCCCTTTCCTTTCCCATCCCTCTCTTACGCTAATAAGACTCCTCCTAGCTTTCATGAAAGCTAGCGAATTTTTCTTTTGAATTTCCCTCCTCTCCTATGGCGCGCGACCACCGTCAGGCGGCAGCAGGTGTCTGGATGGACGGGAAATAGCATTACATTCACACACTAGACTCAGTTACCGTAGTACAAGCATCGACTCCATTTTATACGAGTTTGTGGCCCAGTACCAGCTTGTTTAACACTACCAGGAAACCAAAGAAGAAAAAGAAGAAGCGGTTTGTTGTACCGAGTTTTTCATTCTACACTTTTTACATGTAATCTTATAAGTATATATATAGTTTTAATTTTTCTCTTATTTATACAAGGTATCCAAGAACATCGGCGAAAAATTACATGCACGGGTAGAGCGAACTGAATTGAGTCGAAGAGTCCTGTATCGTTTTGCGATTTGAGCAATAATTAACGAGATATTAACGTGATTTTAACGCGTACTCGGCAATCTTTAATAGTCAATATCTCGTTAACTTTTGACTGCTTTCCAGCTACGACACAAGTAGACACTGTGTAACACGGTGAATCATTAGTATTGTTCGTTTTGTCTCTCGGGAGCTGCTCGGAGTCGCTCTGAATAAACCCAGCGTACTTGGATGTGATCCATTTAATACTGCAAATGCTTCGTTGAACAATCAGATGACAAAATTTTACGAATTGATCAATCAAAGTATGTTTTGAGGTATCTACAACATTAAATAGACCGCATCCAAGTATGCTAGGTTCGTTCGGAGCGACTCTGAGCAGCTCTCGAGAGACAAAACGAACGATACTATTTCATCCTTGTTGTTTGCCTACGTTAAACGAGGATGAAATGATTCTCTGTGTTACACAGTGTTTGATTCTGTCCTTGCTGGAAAAAGCATCCTTTAACTCGTTAACTTTTAAACGGTATTTTTCGACTCAGGGTGCGTTCCGAGTAAGAAATAGTGGAACGGAATGGGAACGGAACATTCCGTTACTGTTCCGTTCCGTTATTTCTGACTCCATGTGACTGTACCCTCAGTTCTATCTGCTTTACCTGTGCCACAGTATAAGGATATACAGTAGGGACGAACAAGGCCCCGTTTTCGGTTCAGCCGCGCAGATTTGCTTGCGCATTGTAAAACGGCCATGTTTTTGGTAGCACTAATCCCGATCAAAGTAGAGAATCCATCATATCTACGTTTGGAAAAACATATGGTCTGTTTCCTGTTCCTGCACTAGACTGAACTAGAACTTTCTTTCTCGCTTTCTACAAATATCGAACATATACCCACATATACCTATCTCACTTTAAGTTCTAAAAGTGTACACTAGTTCAGCTACAGAAAACAGACCTATAATCAAACTCAGTTAAGTGTTTATCGTGTCACACCATGGACCTGAGAATAGACCTATCTAAAGTAGACCCATGGACCTATCTAATCATTTTATTATAATTTGCAAAAATTAAAAAATTTTTATAGACAGTGGTTTCTAATATTATTGATACAGTACTTGGCAACCAACAACATGGCGGAGCCTGAAAGTCCGGCTGAAAAAGATCAAAGGTGCCGACGCTGCTTGTCTCTACTGTATATCCTTATACTGTGCCTGTGTGCATGTAATTTTTCGCGGTCGTTCTGGGACACTCAGGGCTGCGTTCAGATATTACGCCTAGGTAACTCTAGGCTATAGTTTACGTTACGTATATTATATCAAAAATCAGGGAATGGAAAGTTACTTTTTAAAAGTAACTAGTTACAGTTACTCGTTACCGAGTAAAAAATGTAACTAGTTACAGTTACAGTTATCGCTTTTTAAAAGTAACTCGTTACAGTTACCGTTACTTGAAAAATAACTTTTCGTTACTTTTCCGTTACTTTTTTTAAATCAATTTAAAAATGTACTTTTGCATTTTTTTT